GGTTTTTCAAAATGAGGTGAGTTTACTTAAAAACCAACCAAACTCCTGTTTCATTCACATTCAAAAAGCAAAGTAATTTTCTTACAAAAGCGTCCACCATCATTGGTTTTCTGTTCTTGAAAGAAATAACTGTTTTGGACCACACGTTCAAATTTATGATGCAACAATCACTAGAAACCATAAAAAGTTAATTTTTATTATAAAGCTAATTTATTATGCTACATGTGCAATTATTTGCATTATTTTACAAGCAGAGAAAGAATTTTTGTTCTAATTTTTGTATGATCATTAACTCAAAGATGCCGGATTAACTCAGTTGTACTGAGGGTTAAACTTGTATCCGAGCTGTGGCTTCCACGGCCAGATCCATTAAAATGCGAGAGGATTTCCGGGTAGGACCATGTCAATGTTTAAAGAAAAGTCCATATTGTCACCAAAGCTCAAACTTGATTTATAATAGTTAATTATTATGTATAACTCATTTCTACTCGAATTTATTATTAGATTTATCTGACACGAGCGCGAAATCACTACTCAAAAAAGTCTAGAGGGAGTATCATATTTCACGGAAAGAATGCGTTACATTCGTTTTCATTCCTTATCGCTTTCATGGCGCGTGCTGGCGCCCCGACATCTGGGATACTCGCTACAGTACCCGGTAAGAGTGGAAATCGAGCCAGGTTTAGCCTTTTTTTTCAATCTTCCAGTGTGTGAAGTTTAGTGAGTAGTGAAGAGTTTTATATATTTTACTTTTAGTTTTATTATTTTGTTTCCGTTACGGGTTCCATCGCAGGAGTCGCTTCCATCTCAAACTTAGCACTTTATACCCATATTGTTACCAAAGCTCAAACTTGATTTATAATAGTTAATTATTATGTATAACCCATTTCTACAAGAATTTATTATTAGATTTATCTGACCCGAGCGCGAAATCACTACTCAAAAAAGTCTAGAAGGATTATCATATTTCACGGAAAGAATGCATCACATTCGCTTTCATTCCTTATCGCTTTCATGGCGCGTGCTGGCGCCCCGACATCTGGGATACTCGCTACAGTACCCAGTACGAATGGAAATCGAGTGATTCGCCGCTGCGTAGGCACTGTCCGTCACTACACTGAAACAAAAATTGATCGTAGCATTTTTTTAAAAACTTATCATAGCTATAGGTATTTCGGGAAGGCCCCCAAAAACAACTGACCTTTGCCACTTCTTATATAAATCTCTCAATGGGAATACAAACTGATCGTGGTTCGGGAATTCCAATGATTCCTCTGCAATATGTCTAATTTAACACATCCGTAAGCATCATTGAAATCAATAAAAACCGGTGTGTTTTTTTGGCATAAATTGTTTGCATGTCGGAAGGGGGACATCTTTTAGTTAAAAATTTACACCCCTGGTATCAACCCCTTAAGCAGGGTTTCCACCCCTACAATAATTTTAACCTGTAACGTAACACATCATTGGAGAGCGCTCTTAATTTCCTACATCCCTATGGTTTAGTTTTCAAATTAGAGCGTTTTGGAAGATAAACTTGACTGTAGGGCTCAGGTAACTACGTGCGTCTGGTTCACTGAAATTAAATACTATCAGTATTCTACCATCAGTACCTAAAAACCGAGCTAAAACCCAAGGCATTATCAGAAAATTCATCCAAATTCAAAAAACTAAAACTAAACCATAGACGCGTAGGAAATTAAAAGCTCTTTTCAATGGTGTGTCGATCGGCCCAACGTTCAAATTAAAATTATTGAAGGGGTACCAACCCTGTGTAGTAGGTTGACGGCAGGGGTGTAAATTTTTAACTAGAACATGTGCCCTTCCAACTAAAATCGACCTGTTTTTCTCAGAGGATGCTGTATTCCATAGCAACCTTAGCTCGTGGCCAGATTAAAAGGAATCTGTTTTCTGAGAAACCCGTGGGCGTAGGTATATAAAGTTAGAAGGAGCTTAGTGAATCCAGTAATCGGCCATAATTTAAGTAGACTCGTTTTGACTGCTTTTCGACACTCGACCATTAGCTCGACAACTTTCTGGACCATTTTTTTTTAAATTTTAACTGAAGAGGTTTCTTATAGCAGGAGTACAACTTAAAAACCGAAATTTTACAAAAGATGGCGTTATATACATTCTAGTACAAGGTGCGTCATTTGAAAAGTCTATTTTACAGGTTTAAACGTCAGTGAAAAAAATAATTTAATGTGCGCGCATTATTTTTTAGACAGCCAAAAAAAGAAAAAAACAGCATTTGCGCAGTTTTATTGGAGTATTTTTTTGCAAAGAAAATTGCTGCTGAAACTCACCGTTTACTTGTGGAAGTTTATGACGAACATCTTCTAGCAAACACGCAATGTTTCGAATAGTTTCAACGCTTCAAAAATAGTGATTTTGATGATAGTGATAAAGAAGGTCCTGGGGAGCCAGAAAAGTTTGAAGATGCCGAATTGGAGGCATTACTGGATAAATACTCATGTCAGATGCAAGAAGAACTTGCATAATCGTTGTTGGAGTCACTCAATATCCATGGTTTGAAGCTATTGCTGTGTATCCGGTGGGATCAGCTGGGTGTAGTACATTATGAGTTGTTGAAACAATCACAGTATGTCAACGCTAGGCCACATGTTGCAAAACCGATTAAAACCTAATTGGAAACGCTCAAATTATACCCTCCGTATAATCCAGACATTGCTTCTTCCGACTACCACTTGTTCCAGTTGCTTCCATTCTTTCCAAGAAGTCAAAAATTGGATAGATTCAGCAAAAAACATTGGTATGCGATTATTGCTCCAAAGATGTGAGGAAGTAGTAATCAGCGATGGACAATATATTGAATAATGTGTTAGTTCATCGAGCTCTTAGCGAGTTCATGATTTTGAACTTTCTGTCCGTCCGTGCGCCCTTCCATCTGTGGACAAGATAACTCCCGAATGGTTTCGAATTTTCCAATTCTGTTTTCAGTATTTCGTTTATCATCACCCAAGGAAGAACTGATTAAATGCTCAGTGACCGAGGAGCTCGTTAGTTTATTTAAATAAGTACTTGATTTTTATGAAAAATTCCGGTTTTTAAGTTGTACTCCTTTATAGAAGTGAATTGGAATCACGTATGAAAAAATAGATTGCGCATGCGCAGATAGAACTTTTTCATTTGTGGAACACTTTTTTTTAAAATTTTAATTGAAGATCAATTGGAACCACGCGTTAAGAAAATGGATTGTGTATGCGCAAAGTGAACCGTTTTAGTTGCAGGTAGATTTTTCCCAAATGGTAATGGGTACTCCAATATGGACAACGGGCGACAAAGTCACTTCCGGTTGACCTATTGATAAAAACAGAATTGGAAAATTCGAAACCGTGAGTGAGTTATCGTGTCCACAGACGAACGGATAGACGGACAGAAAGTACAAACCTTAAACTAGCTTTTTGTCGCCTGGGTCACTGAAAATGTAACCAGTGATGATAAACATAGTACTGATACAGACTTGGAAAATTGGAAACCGTTCGCGAGTTATCATGTATATAAGCGAACGGAGTGATCATGTACACAGACAGACGGACAGAAAGCCCAAATGACGAAAATTTAATCAGTTAGGCCCTTGACCACATTGTCTATCTATTACTGAAAACAGAAGGAGTTCGTTAATAAGTAAAAAGATTTATGGTCGTACCTAAATATCTCTTCCTTTGTTTAGACATCTCTTCCTTTGTCATAGAAATTACTTATCCGGGATGATTATATATTTATATAATACTTTAAAAAATCCTCTTTTTTAGAAGTGCGGGGGTAACTTCTAGATACGTTTTTGAGAATTGCTATAATTCCAGTGACTCTGTATCTTAAATATCCCAAATAAATTTACGCCTGGTTCCAAAAACATCATACCGAAGTTGTCAAAAATAGAAGGGCATGGACAAAGGAAGATATTTTGCCATGTATCCTCTAACCCCATTTCAGATCTATGGAATCTTGTAGCCGAAAATCATGGACATGTGGAGGGAGAAACACAATTATGCTATAATTCACAATGAAGATGTTTTACCAACTCCCCTACTATTATGACAGCTTAAACATTAAAAGTCACTGTCTTTCTTTTCGATAAGTTACAGGAGCGAATTGCGCACGTTTCGATTTCCCAAGCTACACAATCCTACCGTAGAAATAAGTTCGCACTTATACATCCATTACTATCACTAAAAGTGTCAACATTATGAATATTAAACGGTAGCATCATGGGATCCTCGGAACATTCGTTGCAGCCCCCTTTCACGTTAACACACTAAAACTTTTTACTTCATTTCCGCTCCGAAGTACTAAAAAGAAAATTTTCAGTTCTTAGAACTTAAAATATGTGTAATGTGCCATCCCCTAAGACGCTTACCCATTACACGTAGGTATACCGTCCTGAGATTTCATATCCATTACATTTATTAAAAAAAATAGAAGTCGTGTAATTCTCATTTCCTTTGGACTAACTCACTTTGCGAGAAATGCACACCCTCTAAAATTTAGAACGATTAGCACCTGTGGTAAGTTTATTGAAGCCAAATTAGAAAACTGCCTCTCACAAGAAGAAGTCGACTGCGTTTGAATAGAGATGCAATTGACTATATAATCATAAAAAGTTTTGACCAATTCTGTTGTAAATTTCAGGTATAAGAGAAATTTTACAGAAGTGTCATTAGGGTGGGCGCCTAATTTACTAAATATAGGAGGCGTGTTCATGACATGTACATTGTACAACTCAACGGGATCCAGACGATTGTGCTACTTTTACAGCAGAAATAATATGAATCAATTAATGTGGAACAGGAATTAACTTTCATCTCAACGTAAATCATCAGAGGAATTTTTCTGGGGACTATTTACGTTTCCGATGTATTACAAATGTGCCAACTTGTTCCGTTAGCAAGTTACGCGCAAATATATATTTAATTTAAGCACGAAATTTTGCTAATTGCCGCCTCCACTGCTAATAACACACTAATTTATAGGTTTGCATAGCATTCTCTTATTACGCGATTCTTTTATCAGTGAAAGTTGACCTGGTACACAATTTAAACATAAATCATCGATGTATAGTCATATATTCAATATGTGCGAAACTCTTTTGACCACACATGTCATCAGCAGTCGCAAAGCTGATATCGACTTCGACATTCGAAAATTTCACGAGATGTATTGTAGTGCATGGAAGCCGAAATTGGAAACCGCCAAAATTAGTGCGTTTTTAATTCTATGTGCGCTTCTTTTAGTTTGTGTTAGTGCTTCGACTTTGGGTAAGATTGAGCTAATTTAACAGTTTGTATTGTTTTACACAATAATTTCATCAAGCACAAGTTGATTAAACTGCCTTAATTACGATAGCAACGCTTGGATTATTATATCTAAATGAACGGATAAATAAAATTTAATCTGAACATGTTATAATTATAAATTTCCATTGTTCTGCAACAAAAACATTAAGAAATTATATCATTTGACCAAGTTCCAACGTTCATCCTCAAAATGAGACAATCAGTGATTATAACTTTGACTTACGACTAAGGGGTAAACCACTATAGTAATTTTAGTGTCCTCTTAGTAGGAATTTTGAGGTATTTTGACATTTTTGGGGGAATCTATTGTGAAAATATCTTCTGGTCTTTCGCTTCCAGTGTTTCCATGCCAAAAAATAATCTGTGAAGTTCCAATTTTTTCGGGAATGTGTGGGGGACGGTCCCCTGATGATTGTGTAATAAACTCCCGAGCGGTTTCGGGCCAGCTGGCGAGAGGGGAGAGGGCTATGGGTACGGTTTTTCCAAAAAAATTCATAGAAACAAGGTTGTAGCAAATGTTAGTTGTTTCGAAGAACATTTTTTTTTACGACGCACCGCGATAGAGGTAAAAAACCAAAAAATATGCATTGTACACCCTGCTGCTCTCTACTCCACCTCGACTCCAAGCCATTCGTCCGGTTTAGCTACCAACGGTTTGTTTATCGTGGAATATTCTTGTTGTGTAGTGCTTTTTGAAAGCTCAGTGCTTGCTTGTCGCGATCGAAATTGAAGTAAATCTGCGTTTAATTTGTAATAGGACAGCAAAAGAAGGTGATGGACCCCGGATAGGTGCCAGAAGAATTAGTAGTTTGGTTACTGATACCAGCCAGTAAGACGAAATGGGAAAGTTGGAAAATTCATTTCGAGTGAATTCGTCCACAGTGAATGCAGCAAACGGTACACACGACTTTCTGACATCATGGCGGAAGAACTAAATGAAGAACGCTAAGAAAATCAGTTCAATCGTCCAAGTTTATTGCAACCCCACTCAACACCCGGCGTAGTTATTCAAGATGTTCCTCCGCATGTCCCAGGCCTCTAGCGATGAAAGTTACTTTGACCAGCACCAGTCCACCATCACACTCAAACCAAATCTACCCTCTCTACCTCCATCGAAAACCTCAGAGCGTGTCTCCAAGTTCAACAGTGACCGGAGCAACCGCTTCCTCCAGAACAATGGGGTTTGAAGAGAAGTGACGATGACTTTCAACCAGTAACGCCAGCTCCAGAGGAAATTTTACAAACCATTTTTGCCGTTGTGCTACTACCAACTGCGGGGATAGCTGTGGGTGCAAGAAGACCAGCATATTTTGTATCTGTGCCAACTGCCAAAGAGACTGTTTTAACTCTCTACCAATCCAGAATCCTAACAGAAGATGAAGGGGACGTAGGCGATCCTGATGGAGAAGAATTGTTAGACGTCAAATTTTTCCTATAGGTAAAGGGGGAAGCATAACCACCACTCAAGACCAGCACAATTCACTTCTATTGCTACTTTATACTAAGGTGCAACTATTTTATATTACTTTTTTTATACTTATTGCACACAAAACTACTTTTTTTGTTAGGTGCTTGTTTGGTTATTCACTCACTCCCTTGTCTATGTGACTAAGAACATCAGTTTACAATCGAGATGTGGCCGTTTACGTATGAAGTATGCATACATACATGATTAGTGGTAGGGGTTGGTCAGAGTTGATACAACAGTAAAAATAATATGAAAAGAATTCGAAATATAGATACTCAAAATTTTCGAACTTGCCTAATTTTTGAGGAGTTGAAGATAAATCACCAAATGTCAATGTTTCTTCAATAAAATTGAAGTTTGGCCAAGAACGTGAGTTTTTTTAATTACTACATTTCAAGAGCGCGTAGCTCAAAAACGATGCGTTTTTTAAAAAAATATATACAAAGTTGTAGCAGATATTATGAGCTTTCGGTTTGGATAAGACAATTTTTTTGTACGACACACCGCTGTTGAGATAAGGGCGAAAAACCGCATAACTGTACGCTCAACTGCCTTCTCTCCTTCCTACGGCACCAAAATCGCTCGGGAGGGGACCATCACCAGGGGACCATCAATCACACATTTCTGAAAAAATTTGAGCTACACGAATTATTTGTTCTATATTTCCTAGAATGGCTGGACTATGTAGCAAATCGAACAACAGGTTCGAAGCATCCCAAAGAAAAGTAAAAAGAAAAAAAAGAGGTTTCTTGAAGAAATTTATTTTACAATTTTTTATATCGCGAGTAACGAATGTAACGGAAACCGGAAACTTAGAACCATTTACCAAAGATAGAGGGGAGAGTTCGACAATGAAAATACGTTCGACCAGGTATGGATCTCGGAATTGTTAGTAACGCTGTACGTCCGGGAGTGATTTTGGACTCGGATTCAACAACGACGTCAACGGAGTAGTCAAGAAGGCAAAGGTGGGGTGGATGGTGGCCATTCATATTTCAGCAGCTAATTGAGCTTCTACTGCTTGAAGTTGGTCATTTTTCTGTCTTGTTTTTCCTTATGGAGCTTGGGAGGGTATGCGTTCTGCTCTAAGAGCCATGCGGTTTTCCGATTCCAATCACCAGTTGGGTTTGTAGGCACGGAATCCATCAGACAGCGTGATTCAGGCTGATGTTGGTGAAACTGGAGTGCATTTTCTCTATTTTCCTTGCAGCAACCTCCTGGGCAGTATGTGCCCAACAACCTTTTGGAAGAGTGATGGAAATACGGTCTCCAGCAAGTTTAATCTCCTTTTGTTCACTAACGGCGGAAGAGCTGAATTTTTTTAGCGAAAAGGAATCTAGCGCATTTATTTAATCTGCGCTTAATCGAGCACAATTTATGCTATGAAAACTCGTGTATTTCATAATGAGATTTTAAGGTCCTAAGGTTGCATAATAATTCCCATTATGGTGTAATAAATGACACAATCCCTTAATCCCCTGTTACAGAGCGAGTCATACTTAAAGTTCAGTATGTAAATCATAGGGAAATGTTATTCTTATGGACGTAAATTACGCAGCGTTGTCACAATTCTTTTCCTGCTTCCATTGTTGAAGTTGAAGTGCTTAACCACCAATCATTTAAATCTTCTAATCCCTTTTATTCCTTATTAATTAAAGGACGCCTACAAAAAGGGAGCTTATTAACGCAGATGGCCATCTTAAATCGTTAATTCGTTTGCTTAATTCCTGCCCTACGAATAAAATAAAAGTTAATGACATCATGCCCAATTCTCGGTTATAATCAAATAGCCCTAATTAATATAACTGAATATGGGCCCGACATCTGATCGGCAATCCATTAGGAAAACATTAAAAGATGCAAAAACCACCGAATGCTCGCTTATTTCTTCTTACATTCCACTTCAAACTCCTAACTTTATTACCGCAAAAATGTCCAGAAGAAACTAGATCCAAATTTAGAGCTACCGTTACAAGGTATAGTTTAGGTGTATTAGCAGCAGAGCTGAGGAGGTCTTTATAAGGAAGTATATGAACAAACGTTGTAGTAGTACTTCAATCAAAAATGGTTTAAAGGGAAAATTTTTAGTATTCAGCCCATTCGCAATTTCTATAAAGCTCCTAACCTCCTACGTAACGGTCCAATTAGATACAAAAATATTGAATATTCCCAATTATTTGTAATACAAAATTCCGAATAGGAAGAAATCGATAGTAAATAGTAAAGAAGTTGTTATACAAACTTGACAACGTACGTTTTTAAATTGAAAATCTTGTGCAACGCTGTTACAAAACGTTGGCAGTACAAAGCTTGATAGAAATTAGCAAGATGGACCGCAATATATATCCAAATGCACTTTTCAAATCCAAGCTTGTGTTCTTAATACATACATTTGTACGAAAATCTTATACAAGAATAGTTTAAAATTAGATTTTGAACGAAGTATCGATAACAATGCAAAATTGAGGCATAGGTATATCTGTATCCCTTAAAATATTCTAAGCTTTGAATTGAAAGTTTTCTTTGCCAGCTTAAGAAAGAAAACGATTTTGCATTTCAATTGCAAAAAGTTTATGCGGTCTATTTACGAGCTGCACATCCTGCTGCAAGCTGATATAAAATATGAATAGCTGAACTAAAAATGAAATTGCTTCATGTAGGTTGATGGAAAGAAACCATCTTTTATGAGACATCTTGTTACAGAATCAGATATGTCTCAAATGCTTATATACTACGAGCCAAGGTCTCGATTACCCCTTCGAATAACATCAATTCAAAATAGCTTGTCAAATTCAAGTTTGGGTTTCCACCAGTCAAATACGAAGGTAGATGCGGAAGTCGTTCTACGCAGATTTGGTTTTCGAAGTAATGGATGCACATGCCAGGAGTTCTACTGCGGATGTTGCGCTGGTTTCAATTTTCAACAATTCAATTTCAACAGAGAAGGTAATTTATTACAAAAACACCAATTAAAGTTAGTAAGACGATATAGCTCTTGTTTCGTGTTTTCCCTTAAGCGTTCTCGTGTTGTGCAATATATTCTTGCATTTCTCCTTTCCTTTGAGCAAAACTATAATTATTAGAATCATATCTTTATAGGGTGCATGAGGTTCACTTATAACCCGTACGAGTTCTCCATTTCAGTTGATATGTCTATGAATGATGAGTCTATCTTTTCGACGACAATCTCAGGTAAGTTTTCTATCGACTAACACGTTATTTAAATGGCAAAATTTCAGCAAGGAATCCTCCCCCTTTTTGTATACCAATACCTCTTCCATTTCTGCCGACGGTCGATTTTTGTGCGAAACTCTTGGATATCTACACTCCCGGACAGAATTTGCACATGTGCCTAGATTTTGAAACTCGCATCCAACGTGCCACCGTCCTTATATTGCATTTCAACTGCATGCAAATGGGAGTTGATGGTGTGTCACTCCTTAGGCCCGGGGAGAGTGCGGGCGGATTACCTGTTACAACGGAAGCTCAAGTGGATGTTGATAAATTTGACGAAATTACCGAAAATAAGTACAAATCTCCAAAAGCCTAATTATGAACGAAGGTCGATTGTGAGGTTTCCAAGCAGTTGTAGCCTAAGGTGGACAGGGAATTCCACAAAACGAACTTACGCGTGATTTATATGTCTGTACAGTGGCGCCTCTATGCTATTATTTAACCGGAGGAAAAGATGTATCTAACAAACATTCTTACAATTGTAGAACAAAAAGAAAACATTACTTTGTAACTTGGATATTAATCGCAAAAATGCCAATTTTGAAAATTGCGCCTCTTTCAGGGAGCATGAAAATAAAAATAATTTCTGAAGGCGCCTTATTTCTAAAAAAAATTAATTTTGGGAAGCCTTAACCCGCTATCTGTAATTATTCTGAAACTTCATGTGAAACGATCAGATTTCGGGAGACATTCCCAACAGGGGCTCAAAAGGCACGCAAAATTCCAGCTTGAACGACGCCAGTTATGTATGGAATGTTAGTGCCTTTTAGGGTTCCATGATTCCTATCAAATTTTATTTTGTGGATTTAAATCCCCCTCCCCTCCTCCCTAACCTTCAGCTAAGTTACAATTGATGATGAAGTGAATATCTTATATGTATGTATATTGTACAAACACCCAGGCACCAAATTTTGTGAAAATAGGATTTTTTTGCATAATCTCCTAGGGATAGGTAATGCTCCCATACAGTATTCAAATTTGAACATTTATTTACAAATTTGGTCAAGGAAACGGCAAAACATCTGTCTTAATAAAGTGTGATAGACAACCAACAAATTCATTACAAAATATTTCCACCCCGCACAATTTAGGTTGAAAATTGGTATTTTTCAAAATTTAAATTTCGAACCCTTTGGGATTTTATAAAGCAAACAGACCCGTTATTTTTAGAATTTATTTAAATAAGACAGGTCTTGCCTAATATGTTAAAGAGAATGTAGGTATACAGAATTCGTGTTAAATTTCCCATCTTTGAAAATACCCTCCACCCCCAAACGCGGAGTCCGAGCCTTCCCCGAAAATTTTCCAAAATGAAGTTAAAGGTTTTTAATTTGGAGAATTTCGTTTCTTTAAAACAGGGAGAAAAGATTACAAAATACAGTGTGTCCAAGATAAGGATGAACAGCATGGGGAAATGGGAAACCATAAGAGGATACACAGGCGGTTGAATTAGAAAAAAGTTGGGTATTTTAGGGTTTAGTAAAAGGAAGTTTTCAAAATGGGAAAATTTCGATCAGTCCCAAGATAATCGAAAGAAACCGAAATTAACCAAATTGGTTTTTATTATTTTCCGAGAGAGAAGTGAGGTATTACCTAGAGCATCTCTTAAACTTCGCATCAATTCGAGAATTGCAGCGACTCAGCAATTACCAGTAGCCAAGTAATCTCCAGTCAGTTGATAAGGATGGAATTACAACACATTAGGGAAGAAATCAGGCTACTTCCATATCGCGGAATTGACAGTATGCTAAAATCGAGCGTTTGTCATATGATCTGAGACGGCAGACGGTCGATTTTAGCATACTCGGATAGGCTAAAGTAGAGCTCTATCGGTTAAAATTTTGATCACTCTCGTTCAGTGGATTTCGAGCTAGCTCCCCTACTATAACGCTACAAGTGATATATAAATCCTCCTTTTTTTCGGTTCTACGCTGAAAAATAAGGAAAGTTCGTAATTACATTCCGATACCTAGAATGAACAAATTCTGAAGAAGTTCAAAAAAGAAAAATGAGGTTGTAGATAGCCTATGTCTAAATGTAGATGTATTGTGCAGGGCCGGGCGGACAGATATACGAGGAGATTAGCGCTGTTACTTGGAATGTTGTTCTAAAAAAATGTTAAAGAAGGCCCATTTTAGTACCTAACGAAGATTCCATCTATCAAGAATGTAAAAAAACACTTTTCGTGAACAAAACACAGAATCTGAACTAAAAAGTGAAAAATAAAAGTGTTGGGATCTTAAAAATAAAATGAGAATGAAAGATCAACGAACATTTTATTTTTAATTTTTTATTCGGTATTTTGCTTTTCCGAGGGGTTTGTTAGCTTTTTAATCATGATTAAACATCAAATATAATTAAGTTTTTTTATGACAGGTCAACATTTCGTTTTTTTTATTTTTTTTTTTATTTATTTATTTATTTTTTATTTATTTATTTAGCCTTTATTTTTGAGTGGGCGGGGTTTCAGCCAAGGCTGCTCTACCAACCCAACCCACTATACATTTACAAATATCCATGCCCGATCCCGGATTCGAACCAGGGACCCTAGCACCACAGTCCAGCTTTCGTTTCTGTTTGGGGGTCACCCATTAATCACGTGATGTTTTAAGTAACTTTAAAGCTCCCCTGGCGAAAGTACATATTTTAAATATTTTCAGAATACTTTCTTTAAATACAGGCAAGTACCTATAATTTAATTTAATTCTGGAAAATTAAGGGCGTTGCAGGTTGTTTTTCACTGGCATAAAAATAATAAAGGAAACTAGTGGATGAGGATTTTGCAAGTCTTGCAAAAAACGTTCATTTAAGATATATGGATATAATTATTACTACTACAATTTTTCACTATACACATTTTTTAGACAGTTTTACCTATATTACGTAAGATATAAGGCTTTATTTAAGAAAATATTAAACATAATGGGTGTACCTTGTTTATTCAGTAATTCAGTAATGTGTATTGTTCAACAGATTAGTAATCCATAAATGAACAATTATAAAAGTAAATATAGAGGCGTATACATACATTATTATTAAATAATTATAAAAAAAAGTAAAATAAAAAAAAAGATAAATGGAATATAATTGTTACAAATTAGTAAAAAAAAGTAAACAAACAATAACAGAAAAGGGTATGTGTATATAATGGTACACGTAATGTTGCAAAGTAGAAAGCAATTCTATGAATGAAGGCAAAATAATAATTACAAAACTCTGTTAATTAAAAATAGAACTTAAAACATTCGATAAAGAATTATAATTAATGTTTATCATATAAAATATCCTACATCTCATACTACCGCTAACTTCACTAAAGAAAAAATCATACCCATCTAATCACTATTCACTATAAACTGTGACAGAAATTATAATTTTCCCAATTACAAAATATAAACATGGAAAGGGAGGATGTGGATTTATGCGTGGTTATTAAAGTCATCGTTTATGATAAATATGTTATTAAATTTTATTTTTTGTTTCAATAAATTAGCTTTATCTCGCATTCTACATTAGACAACTATACATACCCTGCCGTTAAAAAACCTTATTCCAGTCCATGGGCGCCAATTAACTTGGAATAACTAAAACACACATATTTGTATTCCGTTTATAATTATTATGTGTAGGTATAGGTTTAACTTAAAGGTAAGCTGTTCTACTCTAAATACCTAAATACTAAATAGTTTTTGCACCAGAAGAATTCCTGAAAGACAGAAGCGAATTTAACAATTTACCGCCCATAGCTAAAATGCTGCGCTGTTTTAAAGAAATATTTCATTTGCAGATATTCCGAAAAATTATTTTTTTACACTGCGTAATGAAATGCTTAATTCATAATACACAACGCAAATCCTCCCCACACAATGTTTTTTGAAAACCTTCGATATGTGTATTTCTGCACTACACAGAATCGGTTCTCGAAACACATGGAAACTAATAGCGCACTTTTTCTTTAAGAAAAATGCGATAACATATTGTTTAAAGCTGCATAATTTGGGTCGAATTGTCCCAGAGCTTTTGATTTACGTTGTAAACCCTCTCAATTTTTGTAATGGCTATTACATGGAGAAATATTGAACCGGACCCTGAATTAGTAAACTAAATTTTCACTTCACTAAATTCGTTAGACGAACGACATCAATCGAATGTGGGCTAATCATTATAATGCAATTACACTGCAATTCACGGCAATTCGTCAGTCGCTTTTCAGATAAAGCGTTCATTAAAAAAAATTAAATTGACTATCGCTGTACCTCACTCTTCCGTTTTGATTATTTTTTTTTGTTATATGTACGTAATGCAAAAGTGAATTCAATTATAATTTTCAATTTACTGACTAGTTAAGTAGGCAAAACGTATTTTCCAACTCAGTCGCATTACAAAATTAATTGGATCATTTACTTTATTAATTCACTACCTTTAGTGGAGCTTTCAGAATTGTGAATTCTACGAAAATTGGATAATTACGAACTCGTTTTAGACTATAGATTTCATTAGTAGTGGAGTCGTTTCCCTGGATATACAATGGAGTGGACTATCTGATCGTTTTTATGGCGAAAATATTAATAATGTAAGCATTGAGAATAATCCTCCTTCCAGTTTGCTGGTTTCAGGTGCATTGGAGATGAGCTACTAACTGAATATATTCGTGTATATTGCTGTTACAGCAACGCAGCGCATAACGAGGTGACCACTAATTAACCAAATTTTAGTAAGTGCATAATAATTAGCACTACCTCAATTTCTTATTAATTTAAACGTGCACTTCTCCAGATTTGTTTCTCGAATCCGAACGTGAAATTTGCATATAAATCCATTAAATATATGCAAATTACTATTTAAAAAATGTCCGCTTATTTTAATCCCTTGAGATGAAATCGCAAAGCGAGTCGCCCAACGAGAAGTGATCGTAGTAATTGAAAAACACGTGATTGGAAAATGGTTTCTAACGACGTCATCATCAAAGCTTTAAATTCAGGTAGCCATCCTGTACTTGGTGGAACTATTGGTTAGCAGCACCCCAGTACATTATTATATGGGTCCGTTAAGTTGGAGTGTCGATTTGAAAGGAATTAAGTTCCAAGTATCTCATAATTTTGTGCTAATTTGTGCTGCTAATTTAAAATTTTGTGCTCATCAGGTTAATGAGTAATTCAACTTTTTCTGATGACACTCCAACTTTAAGCTCTAGTATTCTGGAAGTGGTTTTATATTACTTTAAATCGTTTGATTATTAACGAAATGACTATTTTTATGTAGCCGTAAAGAGGAAAAAAACCACTTTTCCGACGATACCAAACAGGATCCATTTTTTCAATTATTTTGATTTCAAAATAAAATATATTTCATAGTTTTGACTAACCCTGTATATAATATTTTGAGTTTTGTAAGTGTAATGGTTATTTAAATCTTAGAGACACCATTGAAAATCGATTAGTAATAATTATTTGAAAAATAATAATTTCCTTTGCGCGTTTTAGTGTTCCTGAAGTCGCCCAATTTACAAAAACTGCTGACAAAAGGAAATAAAAAACATTTTTTTAAGAATTTCGTCTGAAA